AGCCACTTCTTGTAATTTACATTCTATGGTTTTGTAACAAGGGTTCCTGCACAATAGTTGACAGAGTTTTTTTTTCTGGTTCTTTCACAACAAAGGGTCAAATACCAATCTTACCATCAAACCAAGAATGTGTGTTTGTATCTCAACATGGACAGGTAGTTACACACAAAAACATAACCTTGGACATATATATCTTTCACTTTGACATAGACTTGGGCTCAATTTCATCTGATAGGAGACAAGTGGTCTGCTTTGTTGGATGCTTTAGATAAAACCATTTCTCATCAATATGTATCMACTTGAACCAGTTGTCAAACCTACTACCACTATTCTGATCAATGTGTTTCATGATCCATTCAACTTGCTTCAGCTTATTCTTAGGCGTCAGCAAGGGTTTGGTGCTTCCATTATGTTTTTTAATACTCCCATGTCTGACAAGACGACAATGTAAAGACATCCTATGAATCCCAGTTACAGTGGAAAGAGTGCATATATCACGGTGGTCTTTGTGGGCAATAGAACAGAGTGCATCCAGATCGTCTGATAGTAGGGGCCTTGGCTTGCAACTACTCCTGTGTCTTCTGCTGGAGACATTCCCTGCAGGGAAACAGATAGTAGTTTTGGTTGACATGTTGAACAGTACTACTACTAGTGCAGCATCCTTCACAGCTCCCCTCCTGAGAAACGTGTCTTCTCCATCACTACTCCTTAGATTTTTAGGAGGAACTGAACAACTGTAATTCCTTCATTGTCACTCAAAACCTTGAGCTTCTTTTGTGGAATACTACTATTACTACTACTACTACTACTACTACTACTACTACTACTACTACTACTACTACTACTACTACTACTACTACTACTACTACTACTAGTATAGCTTGCAGTATTTTCTCTTGGCATATCATTGCTTGCCATATTGCTTGCTGTTTTGGTTGTTGTTGTTATTGCCTCTTATTGCTGGTGGAGTAAAAGAACTCAATTGCATTAGTCATCATATTGATGTTAGTTGATTTGCTTTAAGTGCAAGGTCGGTTAAAAAATCATCTGTTAGTGGAAGCAACAGAGATATGAGGCTCAAGTGGACAGAGAGGCAAGGCAAGGTGAGATAATGCTGGAGCTTCCCCCTCTTTGTGGAGGCAGCAGAGACACATGGTAAGCCATTGGATTCCTTTCCCCCTCTTTGTGGAAGCAAGGAATCCCCTGTTAGTAGTGGAAGCAACAGMGAGTAGACTGGCCAATGGATTACCACAGGCAGGTCAATGGATCACCTGTTTGTGGACACAAGAAGGCAACAAATTGCACTTCCCCCTCCTCTTAGTGGATGTGAGGCGGCCAGAACTGAGTCACTTGACATGGAAGAAGAAGGCCTGAATAGCAAAGAAGCTGGTCTTAGTCAGTTGAATGGAAAATGAGGAAATCAGGAGGTACAGTGAAATCAACAAGAGTGAAATTATTGTGTGAAAATAACACAGAGAACATGTTTGCACTATGCTCAAAGCACTTTTTTCTCTTCCCATGATCTCTGCAGCTCAAAAATTGAGAAAACACTTTAGACCTGCATGATGTGCCTGGAACCAATTTTTGCCTCCTCTAGTTACCCACTAAGACTGCATAAGAATGTACCTGTGACAAAGGCTTCTCAAAGTCTGATTAAGTACTTAGCGCCAGCTTCCTTCTGCCCCAAGTCCAGTCTTTAAATGACCTTTAGAACCGTTTCAACCTGTAAACTGAAATCCTCAACTAGTAGCTCTTTCTCTCACAATACCATGATAATACCTAATGRAATCTTCATGACCAWAAGTGTAAAAAGAACAATTCAAATTGCCCAAGTATTGAGCTTATTCCAGTAGTAACAAGTTGGTTAGGGGACAGTTATTTTTGGGCAGAGAGTAGCTGTAATCACWAGTATTACTATTAATTGTCCATTAAAGAACTAAACCCAATAAACAACACCAATCATCTCAACCATGGAATCACTCTCCTTTCTTTATGTTGTCCTTGGTGCTGTCCGCTTGCAATCCGCATTTGAAGTTGACAATCAACAATCTGAATTTGCAATTGACAATCTGCATTGCATTTGGGATGTGATCAACTGGYAACAAGAACTCAGTCCCCTTTAGCATCTGCAGCAGGGATCCTTCCATGTGAGAAGAAGTATCCTATCTGTCAATTTTCATAAGACTACCTCATTGCTTGAAAGGATTCAAAGCCACTGGCATTGCTCATGAATGTGTTGAGGATCTGATGAATGCCAACTTTGCTGCATTGATGATTATACAACAACAACAACAAGTTAAGAATAATATTTCTATCCCCAAACTCTTCAAGTGTAAGCCTCTCCTTCATTCTTGGGGATTGCCCCTGGATCATTCTRATGACCCATTCAGAAAACTGTTGGACAGCCATTGCCTGCCTGTTCATTACTACAGTCTGAGTATTTTCAGGCATACTAMTAGTAGTATCAAATATATATTGGTCATTTTGCTGGTGCAGAATATGAAAGCAGAATCAACAATGCCGTGCTCAGTCATGGTACTGTTGTGCCAAGTCCCAGGGCAGTTATATATGGTCACACAAATTCTCCCATCTGGTGCAAAGACAAGGATGCTAGTATTAATGTATGCATCACAGATCCAGGAGTTACAATACACACTCTGAATGGCCCAGTTGTCCAAGTGTTGAATCTCAACTTTGAGGCCACCACCAGCTGCGCCCCATACTCTTTTGGTTCCAAGTACAGGATACTTAATTCCTACAGTAGCTGCCACATATGGCTGGACCTCTTCCTCGTGTGGGGGTCTAATAATTGCATTGGGATGATTTTGCAGCACARAAAGAAGGACTTGTCTCAAAAATTTCAACCATTTATAGAGGGGGGGAGCGGAGGTGATTTCAAACACTACTATAGACAAGGCTCTAGCTGCTGATCTACATTTCCTGTACCAAGTCAAGACAAATACCATTCCAATAGTGGCGGTTACCTCCATCTTTTTGTCATTGAGTTTGCCTTTCTTGGTGAAGAGCCAATGTTGGATCTGCTCAGTGTATTTGTCCACAGTATATCTATCAAACACTGTCTCAAAGAGGGAAAGGGGGTGCCTAAAGACTTTATGGTCAGCACAAGCACAGCAATTTAGTAGAAGAGCCTGATCATCACCAGAACCAAACAAATGGATGAATGGTAACTCATTGACTTTCATGAGCACTATTCTGGGCATCCTCCTATCCCTAGAACCCCTTTCCTCAAGGGCCAGTCTAGGAATTGTTGTCTCCTCATCCTGCTGCTTCTCTTCAAGGGGAGCTACCCATGCAACCACAACCATCTCAGGGGACATTGTTGCAATATCCTTGTCAACGATGAAGTGTCGTAGCATGGTGTCTTTCTCACAATAGGCAAATAATGAGGCTGGAGATGGTTTTGTTAGTTTCAGAGAGCTGGTTTCTTGAAAATCTGAATGATGTTGGCTCCACTGGAGTGGAATCTGGTCAAATGCACTATGTGCACAATTAAAATGGTATTCCAAATTCCAAAAATGGGGGAAATATGTTGTTTCAGAGAGCCTGCCTGGTCTTTAGTACCACCAATATCCACATACATATATGGATTAACATTMTTGGGAATGAACCATTCTTGTAAACTATTTCCATTTTAATTTTCAATGCTGCATCAAATAATAGATGTACCCTATGACCATTTTGGCTGTCCATACAAAGAGTGTCCCCTGTTTACTTAATGATTTCAACAGTTGAATTTAAGGACTGCTGATTGGCTGTTTAGAATGTGTAGAGTCACTACTAGAGACTAGAAATGAACCTAGCAATGAGCATGCATGTGATTGCACAAAGTATTATTGCACATGAAATTACATGCCAATTAAATATTGGTGACAATGGTATGGTGCACCTATGTTGAACAAGAATGACCAATATAGGAACATTCTCTCTCTATATATGAAGAATATCATGGTACAGCTCTCAGCCTTAGCTTTCTATAGCTGCAATGACTGCTACTATTGCCCAACTGGTGATGATAAAATCTCATTTATATACCAGAATGGGCCCCATTTGAATAGCCAGTATTGCAAGTATGTCAGATACTTTTATTTAATGCAATTTTCATACATAAATACACATTTATAATAAAAAAAGCATTCTAATCACCCAAATGTTGAGCTTATTTCACTACTAGAAGAGGTGATATGGTACATCTGTTTGTGAACAGAGGAAGTACACTAGTAGTACAGTCAGGAGTCACAAGTTATGACCCCTGAGTATGGTACTKTTACTGTTGGGTAGCACCAAAATTACAAGCAACCAAGCGCCCTTGATTACTGTGAGTTGCAAAAATCTGACACTGACAAACACTAGTTTTTTTACTCAAGTACACATACCTCAAGCTGGTTGCAAAGTGTGCRGAATGAATTTTTTAACCAGGACTTGAGACCCAACCCTTACCTATAGAAAGATCCTTCTTTTCTCTGTGAACCAAAAAAAGTGGGTCTGGTTACAAAAAAAGTGCACAGTGCACCTGCAGCACCTGTGTGCTTGTAACCAGTCGAATGCACCGTGACAAGTACACTGGTGTTAAGTACAAAAAGAAAATTAATTGAGAACTACTAGTAAGTACAAACTCATGTAGCTAGGAAATATAGTACAAAATTCAAGATTGCCATCTATCAGCTTCCATATCAACAACTTGTATCAGTGTCCTTGTCCGTATCAGAGCGCTTTTTTTTATTTTGGGACCAAGGATGGAATATGATTTTTCAATCCCCTGCCCTGCCATACTGGTACTTTTTATTCTTGTTATCGGGCCACACGCACGCATAACAACAACAACAAGAACAACGTGCAACTGRTTGCTTGCAGCCACCACCGCTGTTGTTTTTTCTTGAAGGATGGCAGCAGCCAAAAAACTTACTATGGTGCAAAAACTAGGTTATTGCTAATAGAATGACTTGTTGTCACAATAATGACTGAATGTTTTTAAGTTACTAGTATAAATGAATAATTTATTTTGGTCAAGGTACTAATTTATTTGCAAAAATTAATACTGGGTTTGTACAAATCCACACTAAAAAAGTTTCTTTTTGTTTCCTCAGTCGTAGTAAGTCCAGGACTGTAAGAATTCTTCAAGGTTACTGGCTACCGTGCACTAAATATCGAAGTGAAGTGCAGTGCCGTTCAGTGCCGTGCAGTGCCGTGCAGTGCACCGTAGCCAATTCATTTTCCCGACATGCGATTGGTGGCTGGGCAGAGAGAGAGAGATGCTGAATTTCGAGTTTCCACCCGTCGTTTCGGTTTCCAGATGGATTGACGACGGGGCGAAGGTCCCATCTGCGCGAGGAACGGAGAGAAGGTCCGTTCGGACCAATGAAACGAATGCATCGATGGTTCACGCGGGCAGCACGCATGGCACGACGAATGAATGTGCCGGCACTACGAGGATTGTATGTAAGGTACGGTACTGTACTCGTACCCCCCCTGGTAGCGTAGGATACAACTCTACGATACAGGACAATGTGCTTCTACTAGTACGAGTAGCTGTACTCGCAMTCGTGCAGAAGCTGGCACGAGTCATAGTCATGGTCTACTGCAGGGTTCGTACGATACGTACGAAGTTATAGAGGTAGATACTAGTACTAGTACTCATGCTCGCCTTCGTTTTTCCTCCTCCGGATCCTCTGTTTGTGTTCTCGACCTGATGGAAATTTGGATTCTACGGTACGGTATCTGGTTTGTCGTCTTCTCCTACGAGTACGAGCACTACTCGTACGTCTCGTACCTGTTACTGGGTACTAGTAGTGTACGCTACGATACGAGTGCTCGAGCAATCGTACAATCGTACRATACCGTGTCTACGGAACGATGATGGATTCTTGATTCTTCTTCTTCGCCGTCTTCTTCTTCGAATCAACAACAATCGAATCCAATCGATGGTGCTTCGCAACAAAATCGACGGTACAAGTACGAGTACGAGTACCATCTCGGAGCAAGACAAAGCAAGGCGTTAGGTACCAGCAGTTCCCGACAGATCCAAGAGAAGCCAACTAACGCAGCGCAAAGGCAAAGGCAAAGGCATCAGCAACGAACCCAATCCAAACACACCCACCAAGACAAGACAAGACAAGAGAAGACAAGACAAGACAACGGACCCCATGTTCTCCCAAACGCTCCGACGCACCGCCCTCTCGTGCGGCGCCAGGGCGTGCCAGCACCACCGGGCACTCGCGGCCGCCGGTCGGGTCCGCTTCCTGAACCTCCACGAGTACCAGTCGGCCAAGATCATGGAGGAYGCCGGGGTGAACGTCCCCTTTGGGATCCCCGCACACTCGGTGTCCGAGGCCGTGGAGGCCGCAAAGGCGATCGGAGACGAGGARGTCGTCATCAAGTCGCAGATCCTGGCCGGGGGCCGCGGGCTCGGCAAGTTCTCCACGGGCAACCAGCTGCAGGGCGGGGTCCACATCATCCCCACGGCCGACGTGGAGGAGTTCGCGGGCAACATGATCGGGGGCACCCTCGTCACGAAGCAGAGCGGGCCGGCCGGAAAGCCCGTGAACACGGTGCTGYTGGCCAAGAAGATGTCCCTGAAGCGCGAGTTCTACTTTGCCATCATGATGGACCGCGAGTCCCAGGGCCCCATGATCATTGCCTGCGACGAGGGGGGGACCTCCATCGAGGACCTGGCCGAGTCCAACCCCGAGAAGATCATCAAGGTTCCCGTCAGCCTGGAGGAGGGCATCACCGACGAGCAGATCGCCACGGTGGTGAACGGCCTGAACCCCAGCGGAGACAAGGCCCTGGCGGGGGAGCAGATCCGCGCGCTCTACCAGCTCTTTGTGGACAAGGACTGCACCATGGTCGAGGTGAATCCCCTGGCGGAGGACCAGGACGGCAACCTGATCGCCGCCGACGCCAAGATCGGCTTTGACGACAACGCGGCCTTTCGGCAGGCCGACGTCTTTGCGCAGCGGGACGAGTCCCAGGAGGACCCCCGCGAGGTGGCCGCCTCGGCCTACGACCTGAACTACATCGGCCTGGACGGCACCATCGGCTGCATGGTCAACGGKGCCGGCCTGGCCATGGCCACCATGGACATTGTGGACATGCACGGGGGGACCCCGGCGAACTTTCTGGACGTGGGCGGGTCGGCCACCACGGAGCAGATCGAGGCGGCCTTTCGGATCATCACGGAGGACCCGGCCGTCAAGGCCATTCTGGTCAACATCTTTGGCGGCATTATGCGCTGCGACGTCATTGCCGAGGGCATCGTGGAGGCCTCCAAGAGCCTCAGCCTCACCATTCCCGTGGTGGTCCGCCTGGAGGGGACCAACGTCGCCCTGGGCAAGCAGATCCTCGACGAGTCGGGCCTGGACCTCATCAGCGCCGACGACCTCGACGACGCCGCCAAGAAGGCCGTGGCCGCCATTCAGTAAAGGCATGAGGCATGCCGTCGGGCATAGGCATGCCGTCAGGCATGCAGTCGTTTGTAGCAGTGTAAAGACGCAGAGTAAAGAGGCAGTGTAGGATGCTGTGTAGGATGGAATATAAGGCGCAGTGTAAAGACGCAGTGTAGGATGGAGTATAAGGCGCAGTGTAAAGACGCATTAAAAGACGCAGTAAAAAGACGCATTAAAAGACGCAGTGTGCCACAGGCCGTTCGGCGTGCCTAGTGCCTAGTGCCTAGCATTGCTTTGGTTGCGTTTCGTTTGGTTATACTTCGTATGGTATCGTTTCTATAGAATGGTGCTGTCGCACTGTATCGATGATCTATGCACCCTGCCGGTGCGGTGCGGTGCTTTGGCGCGTCCTTCCGTGGCGCGCGCCTGCCTTTCTTCCTTCCTACCTACCTCCCGGGGCAGCCCCCGGCCGGTCCCACCACGGTGAACTCCCCGCTGCTGGCAAAGGCCTGGTAGAGGGGTCCCTCCGACCCGCGGATCAGGTGGGCCCGGTAGACCCCGGGCCCCGCCCGCTCGAYGGCCCGGGCAAAGGAGAGGTTCTCCCTCTCCACGGCGGTCCCGCAGAAGCGGTCCCCGCAGGTGTAGGTCCAGCCGAGGGCGTCCCCGTCCAGGAGGTTCTGCGAGTCGTCGGCCGACGCGTAGATGGCCACCCAGTCGCCGGGCAGGGGGGAGCAGGCCTCGAAAAAGACGACAAGGTCGTCGCCGGCGCCGACGCAGGCCGCGCTGAGCTCGAGCGTGTCGACGCAGGGGGGAGCWWYGGCGGGGGCTTGCGTGGCGTTGGCGTTGCCCGGGAGTTCCACGGCCACGGCCGAAGCAGAAGGGCTGCCTCCTTCGGCGTCGTCGTCGTCGGTGGTGGCCACCGGTGGTTCTTCCGTGGCATTTGCCGGTGCGTTCTGGGCGGTGGAAGCCGATCCCGCAAAGGTGCCCGCGATGCTTTCCGTRGCGGGGGGGGCTGCTTGCGGCGGCTYGGMGGCSGAAGCGGCACCGGAGCTTGCGGTTTCGCTGGCACTGGCACYCGCGCTGGCRCTGGCACTCGCCAGGGCCGCCTCGTGGTCCATCGACCGGACAAAGGCAATGACCAGGCCGATGAGCACCACGTGCAGGAGGCAGCAGACGGCCATGGCCCAGCGGAACCTCCGGCTCGATCGCAGGTAGCCGACCAGGCTGTTGCCGCTGCTTGCCCCCGGCTTGCGGCTCTTGGTTCGGCCGTAGCTGTCCGAGTACGAGGCCAGGACGGCCCCGCGGTCCGCCCCAAAGGACGAGTGGAGCATCGAGTCCTCGGCGTCGTCGGCCAGGGCGGGGGAGGCCCGGGCCTTTTCGAGGTTCTGCTGGTGGTGGTGCTGGTAGTTTTGCTGGTTGTGGTGGTTCTGCTGCTGGTTCGGCTGGTACTCGTCCTCAAAGCCCTCCGGGATCTGCAGGTTGCTCATAATGTACTTGTTGGACGAGGCGACGGAATCGTTGGGGTCCGCTCCCTCCGCAAAGGGCTTGGGGCAGCAAAAGTCAAAGGTCGGGTGGCAGGCCGTGTCCTTGGAGGGCGATTCGGTCTGCTTCGGTTCGTCGTGTGGGAAAGCRGTGGCGGTGGCGCCTGCCTCTGCGGTGGCGAAACCTTCCCCTTCGTTTGGGCCGTCCGGGTGGGTGTGGGAGGGTGGCGCGAGGCCGTAGYTGTCTGCGGTGGGACCTCCGCTGCCGGAGGCAAAGGGCTCGGAAGGCGGGGGGGAAAACGAGGCGTCCGCCAGGGCGTTTTCCACCATTCCGGAATTGCGGTTGTGGTTGTGGTTGCCGCTGCCTCCGGCCACCGGCGAGAGGGCCCGGTGGAGGAACCTCTTGAAGCGGGGGGTCCCGGTCTTGCGGGCGTCRTCCTCCGAGATCTCCCGGTCCAGGACCGTCTCCAGGGTCACCAGGGGCAGGTCGACGCCCGCCTTTTCGTAGCTCTCCAGGATCATCCTCCGGGACCGTTCCTCGGCCTCGGCGTGGGGCGGTGTGTGCCCGTTGCCGTTGCCGTAGCTGTTGCCATTGCCATTGCCGTTGCCGTTGCCATTGCCCACCGTGGCGCCGATCGTTTCCGGGCCGACGGCGTTGTTGCTGTAGCTGTTGACGCTGGCGTTGCCGTAGCTGTGGATGCTGGCGGTGTCGCCGTTCTCGTTGTCGTTCGTGTTGGAACCTGCCATCGTGCTTGGGTGCCGTGCTGCGTTGTGTTGTGCTGCGTTGTGTTGTGTTGTGCTGCGTTGTGTTGTGTTGTGCTGCGTTGTGTTGTGTTGTGTCGTGCTCTGCTCTGCTCTCAACCCTACGGTGCGTACTATCGTTTTCTGCGAAAGAACAAATTATCTGGTGATCCGTGACGTTTCGAATTCGAATTAAATTCGGTTCGACTGCAGCGGGTACGTTTTRTATAGCTTAGCTTWGCTTTGCTTTGCTTTGACAGCTTCTATGGGCAAGAAGGCTGTTTGTTGGGTGGATTTCGGTTCTGTTCTCTTCGGTTCCTGGCGGATGACACCCTTTCGGTAGGATGGCTTGGGTTGTTGCGGATGCTCTTGCTGCTGTGTTCGAACACGGATTCCTTCGATGGCACGGCAGAGCAGAGCATWGCACGGCATTTGCGTTCCGTCCGCCCCGCTTCGTTCCGGCCTTGCTTCGATGGGATTTTCGACCGGTACGGCCAAAAACGACTAGGGGAAGACATCCGGCACCGACCGAATTCCCGTCAAAATCGGCGGGAATCCCCGGCCGGCGTGGTGGGCGTGCATGTGGGAACCGATGCGGGCATTTTGTTCTGCGCTACGGTGCGGTGGTGCTTCGTACCGTAACGTAGCACTCGGTACGTACCGTACGGGGCCGATCCATGGCCGGGATGGGCCACCGGTTCGAAATTTTTTTGGGAATGAACGAACMAACAAAAATGCTTCCGAACCAAATTTTGCGGGAAGGCTGGTTCCGTGCCGCTACGCATAGATACGTGGAAACCTACGAATGCCCACGGGATGGACTGCCTCGCGCGTTTGACATCTGAGAGTCATGCCGCTTCCTATTTGTTTCGTAATTGTTCGTGAGTGAATTCATCCATCAACAATTATGGATCGTCCGTGAACCAATCAAATCCAAAACAATCGATCCATCCACAAAATCAATAGTGTCACACACTATTACATTAAATRGTGCTATTGTTTTCGGCCACTTGCGAGAGCCGGTCGCGCTCAGGTCGCGGAAGAAAACGAATGATGGGGTGCGTTCGCCGCAATGCCATGCAATGCTGTCCGGGACATACGAGTACCGTACGGGACCCTGCCGTGCCATGCCGTGCCATCCGGTACGAATTCRCTCGATTCCGGCCCGGGGGGTGTCCCGGACGCATCCGATGGAAATAGCCCCGCGACCGTGGATCGGAGGCACTTTCGGTTCGAATCCCCCAACGTACACGCATGCTCGTGCCCGTACCGTACCATCGACAAGAAACTGCAACACCCCGGGGTCCCGTCTTGTACGATACTCGTGCGGGACGAAGGCGCAGCCCGAACCATCTTTCTGTTGGGGTTGCGGTTGGGGAACGACCGCGAGCAAGGCGCAAAGCCCTTGCACACGGGATCCGTCCCTGCCGAACGCCGGCAGGATGCGATGCGATGCGCCGGGAGCAAGGCAGAGCAGTGCAGAGCAAAGGAACAACAAATGCCGGGTACGAGTAATGTACGGTACCGTATGATGCGGTAGGAAGCACGAGTATGTTTGCRCACTACGAGTATCGGTCCAAAGCACTACGAGTACGAGTACGAGTACGTACCGTACCGACTTTTCCCCTAGAGCAACGGAACAACCGGCAAGGACCAAAACAGGACGTGGGACGGCACAAAGTCGACGCAACAGGTATTATTAGTTGCTGCCACTACGGGTAAAGTACTCGTACGACTTTTCCCTTTTTCTCGTCTCCTTTCTTCCGATCCAAAGAAACTACGAGTGCACTGCGGTAACATCGATCCACTACSAAWTYGATCCACYACTTGCACCGATCAGCAGCATCAACAGCCGAAACCAACAAGGCAAGCCAGCAAGAGACAAGACGTGAGTGACAAGCCCACCCACCGCATCGAATCGAATCGAATCGAATCGAATCGAATTGCATCAAAAGGAGACCAGAACGACGTTGTGGAACAAAGACAAACAAAATCACAAACACACCTACAATCACAAACACATCCACAAACACAAGCCCACACCCAAAGACACACAAACCCAAACGCCAATACAATACAATACAATACAAAACAAAACAAAACAAGATGCCCTCCACACCGCCCAAGCAAAAGAGAAAGGTGGTCCTCTCGTGGGGATGCGGAACCGACGACGTCTCGGTGAACTCCTCGTGCGCCTCGTGGCACCCCGACTTTCCGGAGATCGAGCACGAACACGAAGACCAACCCTCCGAAACCTTTGGCGCAGAGGCGTACAAGGCCACGGAGGTGTCCCGGTCGGAGGAGGAGGCGGTGAGCAGCACCGAGGGCTGCTCGGTAATCAGCCAGGAGGGCATCGAGGTCGAGGCCCTGGAGTTTGCCGAGGGGGGAGCCGTCTTGTACAAGACGCACAAGCACAAGCACAAGCACCATTCGCAGGGCAAGGCCTTTCGCCACGGAGAGACCTACTGGACCGTGGGCTGCGGGGAGAAGACCTACGACCTGCCCCGGAGGCTGGTCCTGCTGATCCTGGCCTTTTTGCTCACCATGGCCGCGAGCGCGACGGCGGGCTTTTGGGTCCTGGCCACCAAGGAGAAGGACACCGGGGGCCTGGCCTCTTCCTCGGCCGAGGCGGCCCGGGCGGAGGGACAGGCTGCTTCCGAGGCCGTCGGCGGTTCTTCACAAAATGCCGCCAGCGACTTTGAGTTTACCTTTGTCGAAGACRAAGACCTCGACCTCGAAGACCCRTYGGAAGACCCGYTGGAAGAARCCTGGAGCGGGGCCGAGACAGAGACCACGGACCCYCCGCGGGAGCCGGMRGMRGCGACCGAGGCCCCGGTGGCGGCTCCCACGGCGGTTCCCACCGCCCGCACCACCACCACCGCTCCGGTGGAGGCGGTTCCCGAAGAGCCCGAAGGCCTCCCCTGGGACGACAACGACGAGGAGCCCGAAGGCCTCCCCTGGACCGACGAGGCATCCCTCTCGGTCGTCTCGGAGTGCTCCGGGGACGCCTCGGCCACAAAGGCCTCCTTTCGGTTCGACGACCCCAGGGACGGAGACTGGTACTGGATGCGGTCCGCCGATGGAAACGCAGATGCCGATGGAAATGCCGATGCCGACGCAGATGCAAATGCCTACGACTCGTGGGACTACGCGGAAACCACGGAGGGAGACCTGGTCTTTGCCTCTCTGGAGGAAGGGGACTACGTCATTTCGCTCGTGAGGGACAGCCTCGCGCCCTACGACGTGATCCTCTCGAGGGACTTTACGGTTCCGGTCTGCGGATAGAACCAGAAGGGAGGATTCGAATGCTACGCAACGCAACGCAATGCAATTCAAGGGAATCGAATCGAATCGAATCGAATCGAATCGAATGCCTTTGTTCTGCGCTTTGCATCGAATTTGCCCACCGGTGAAAGGGCAAAGAAGTCCCAACAGGCGTTTTGGCGTGGTGCCGGTACCAGGAAATCAAATCGAATCGAATCGGTGCGCACGATGCCTGCGGCAGTTTGTTCCCCTAGCGGTGTTGTCCATAATAGTAATTGTGTTTTTTTTAATAACAGCCTAGCCCTCCCTCCACTCGAGAGACCCAAAGACGTTCTACTACTACTACTACCGGTGGAGTTGTCGCATCAGACCACCTGGTCCATCGAACGAATCATTAGTGACGATGATACCAACATCGACCATCTATGCGAACATCCAAAGCGAACATCCTAGTATCTCTGGTTGGGGATACAGTAGACTTGTTGGTCGGGGCGAAAAAAAAAACGATCTATTTTTGTGTCTGCCGGTTTCGTGTGAGTTGCTGGTTTGAGGATTCACGATTTGCAATTTGCACCTACCGAGTACGGTATCATATTGTATTACGGTACGTACGTATGTACGTAATCGCATTGACCTCGCCATTCGCCATTCGCAATTCGCAATCCACAGTACGAGTACCGTACAGTAAGAGCCTGCCCGAATTCAAATTCAAAAACGAACATTGGTTTCCCCCCTTGTTTCAAAAAATGTTTCCCTCTCGTCAAAAAAAAGTGCCGTTTCGCAGCTACGGTACCGTACGTACGTACTCGTACCTACTCGTACAGGTAGGTAGGTTTGTCGATGATAGCGTACTTGAAGTACGTAAAGTGGAATACCTACGTAACAGCATGTAGAGAAAGTACGAGTAGTTTCCGATTTCCGATGGAAGAAGTATTGGCATTATCCATTATCCATTACTGTATCCATCATCCAGAACACGGCAAGGGATATCGATGAACACTACAGCAATAGCAATAGGGATCGACGAGCTACGAGTACGAGTCCTGCTGCAGAGAATAAGGTAGCGGAGCAGCGGAAGGGATACCAAACGGACTCGGGCAGTCAAAATGCAAACAGAGCCTTGCAGAATACCAAAAACACGAGAGGGAGAACAAGCTTGAAACACCCCAACGCCGCACCAACCAAAGCCTCGCATCGCACCGCATTGAATTTCATTGCAGCGCACGACAACGCAGCACAGCACAGCACAGCACAACACATCGCTACGAACCACCATGGCGCCTCCCCGCGGCGGCGGCAACAGCGTCGGAAGCAGGCCACCGCCGATCTTGTTTTTGTTTTCGCACTGCTGGAAGGTCGTGGCCTGCCTCGGCTTTGCGGCGATTTTCGTGCGCCAGTACCGGTTCCTGGGCCTCTTCTACGAGGAATCGGTCTCGGCCCCGGCGGTGGGGAGCCTCGCGGGCGTGGGGGTGGTCCGGGAGACCACGGGGTCGGCGGCGTCCTTTGCTTCTGGGGCAGCGGCTTCTGCTGCTGCAAGGCATCCMKCGGCGCCGATCGCCGCCGATTCCCCACCAAAGGGCAGGGCTTACACGGCGGAAACGGACGCGACGACGGAAACCTTGGCACCGACCGCCGCACCGACGACCGCATCGACGAGTGCATCGACCTTACCTCGAGAAGCGGAGGTTCCGGAAACCTCCGGATCAGCAGACAGCGAGCTCGGGGACCCTTCGCCTCCACCGTCGCCGCCGCCTACCGCTGCCTTGCAGCTGCTCGACCTCGGCCGCGAATGGAAAAAAAATCTCAAAAAGAAGCTGGCCGCCGAGGAAAAGGTCCGGGGCCGGGGCACCAAGCCCAAGGGAAAGCTGCGTGCCAGCATCCGCAAAAATTTCAAGAGGCTCAACGACCGCCTGGCAGCCATCAACGCCACCGCGGAGATCGACGATCCGAGCCGGTACCACTTTGTGACGCACGAGGGGTACCAGTCCATCGTCGAGGCGGCCCGAACCTCCCTRGACGARGCGCTGGAGGCCGTCCGGACCGACTGCGTCCTGTGGCTGGTCCCCCCCACCGGGACCATCACCGCCCTCGAGGTCGAGCGCGACGACGCCGACACCACCAGCCACGACAAGAACCCCCTCGCCGGCCCCCTCCTCCGGTTCCAGTGCGGAACCAACGCCACGGACCTGTCGGAGGATCCCTGCGGCGCCTCCAACCTCTGCAGGGTGCGGTCGGACCCCGGCCGGTGGAGGGAATACTATGCAAGCAGCGGTTCCAACGAACCCGATGCCTTCAAGAGTCGGTACAACCACACCGAGCTCGAAGAGAGGCTGATGCCCTCGAGCAAAGACCACCCGGACGCGTCGTCCTCGGCCATCCTGACCATGGTCGACACCGTGCAGTACCTGCGGTACGGCAAGAGCTCGACCTCGCTGAAAAAGCAACAAATCTTCATCTGGGAATGTTTCCTGAACAAGGCGAGCTACGCGCTGCAAACCAACCGCGATTTTTACATATGGATCGGTGGGGTCTCCGAGAACGAAGGAGGCGGCGGAGACGACAAGGTCACCGTCCTCAAGAAGAAGAGCAAAAAGAACCCCAAGGGGAGCTCCAAAAAAATAAAACCACAACCGGTCCTCCACCAGCGCAACACGGAAGAGATCGCGAGGGTCTTTGGGACCACCTGCAACCCGGAATCCCCCGACAAAAACGCGGTCCACTACTACAAACCGGTTGCCTTCGGGGCCTACTTTCAAAAGATCGCTCCGCAGAGGAACACCGGTGGTGGTGGTGGTGGATCCTCCCCCGACCCCCGCGCGTGGTTCATCGACGCCGACATTTTCTTCAACCCCGAGGCCTTTCCGTCCGTTCCCGCCGCCGACAGCGGTGACGATGACGGTGGCCCCTTGTCCCTCGACGACTACTTTGACATTTCGCCGCAGGCATCGCTGCTGGGCTCCCAGAACCCCTCCGGCAAGGACGAGAACATCCTGATCAACGGCGGTTTGCTGGGACTCCGGAACCGCGGGAGCAAGACCGTCGAACACCCTTTCGACGACTGGGTCCTGGATTTCTCCGCCCTGTGGTGGTACTGCCGCTGCGGGGAACGGGACCAGATCGCCCTCTGGCTCTTGCTCTTTGCCACCTGGAGCGCCGAGAGCAGTTTCAGCCAGAGCGAGGCCCGGTTTTCCTACCCGGGGGTGGCCTTCGAAAACTACCTCTTTGCCTGGTTCGCGGTGATCCCCCACGCCCGGATCTTTCTGCCGGTGCTCCAGCGGGCGTGGGCGAGGGACACGGCCGTTCCGGCACATCCGTCGGCGTGGACCACCGTCCCCACCAACACGAGCCTCTTCGACGGCGGGGACGGTTTTTCGGGGGGT